TGATGTAGTTTTAAAGTAAAACTTACTGAAGGCTTAAGGCACTGACTGACCATATTATATGTCATTTAATGACATAAAATCTTATCTGGATTTAATTCTCTTATTAGTCTCATTTTGCAGACAGAAAAACTGAAGTTTAAGAACATCTCCCTATCCAAACTTACATAGTAAATAAGAGATAACACTAGGATTTGAAATATAGTTTATCATTTATGGAAGACATGGAATCTTACCCATGATTCTAGTATGACTTTCTCCATTTGTTATGAGAAATTATGAAGCAAACATCCTAGAGAAGACATTTCTTTGGTTAATGAATCTTGGTAAAAATCTATTTCAGTATCTGCTACTATTAAATGCAAAAGGAAGAAAATAGCTCTGTACAAAGCAGCACTGAAAAGATGATTTGTTCTCAAACAGTTTGCATTTAATACATTCTGCCAGACTGAATACATCTCTCATTTAATCATTGTATCCTATGTACCAATATCTCTGTTAGGCACATTACATTATGGCCTTGTTAAATACTGAAAACCAATGTTATGTCCATTTTGAAGACAATGAAACATAATCAGAAAGGTCAGCAAAATGGAAAGAGATCTTTTTATGCTTTATTTTTAAAAACCTAAAACTAAATTTTATTGACATATAATACTAGTACATATTTATGGAGAACAATGTGATAATTGCGTGCATGTATACAATGTATAGTGATCAAATCAGGATAATTAGCATTTCCATTGCTTTAAACATGGATCATTTCTTGTGCTGGGAAATTTCAAATGCCTCTTTTCTAGTTCTCTATAAAAGTACATAAAAATGCTTGTGAACCACTGTGCTGTAGAACATTAGAATGTACTCCCACATGTAACTGACGGTACCCACTATCAAATGTTCCTCTACACTCTCAAACCCATATTCTTCCTACTCCCTACTGACCAGTGGTCTCCTTTCTATTTATATGAAGTAAACTCTTTTCAGCTTCCCAAAGTGTTATTTGAAAAGTCTCTATTTACTGGACATTAAAACATAAATACAGAAAAGTGCACAAAATCTTTAATGGTTCTATGCAGTTAAACATCACAATATTATTGAATCAGGCCAAACACTGAAACCGAAACTATGAGTTTTGCAAAAGAAAGTTTATTCACCAGACAGCCATTAGTGTGGGGATGGAAGAACTGGACTCACATATGCCTTCTGGAGTGCAGAGTTTAGAGATATTCACAGGATAAGGGGTGTGAGGGCTGGGGAAAGGCCACTGCAGAAAAGTGAAGCAATCAGTGCTCTGCTCATGTGTAATCAAACTTCATGGATCTTCATAGGACATATTTTCAGGAAAGGGCAGGATGGTCTGCTGTGAGAGCGGGTGCAGAGCAACTCTTGAAATTCCCAGGGACAGGAGAGTGGAGGATAAAGAAATGAAGACAAGAGTCATCATGCAGAAAGTTGAGGTCACATGAAGCCCTCTCTCCTGATAGGAGAAAAGGAACTGCCTAACAAGTAGAGTGTGCTTGTTTACACAATCAGCAAGAGGTTGAAAATGGGTGAAACCCCTCTCTTAATGGGAGAAAGGACCTGCCTAACAACTTGTTTCTCTGGCTCATCTCAGGCACTCCATGTTCTTGGGCTTGTTTTACCCCACATGTGTGATTGATCTCCAGCTCAGCCACTCCCATTTCCCAATTTTCTATTTTGTAGTTGCAAGTGGTGGGTGATCAGTTGGAGTTAGAGGTTTCTGCATAAGACCTTTTCTATGTAGAAGGCTTTTCTTCTCCACTCTTCCCCATGCGTCCCCAGCCAAGCTTCTCCCTGAGAAGTCCTTCTTCTTGAACACTTGCCATTCTGAATGAACTTACTGATTTAAGATAAAGATTTTCAGTCTAAGTATTTCAGGTTCCTGCATTCAGAAATTTAACCTTATGCAACCCATTAACCCATAACGGTAGTCAGTTACCAGTGTAGCTACAAGTTGTTAGAAGGTGCCAGTGATTTGATTCTCTTTTATAGCTAGTGTATTAGAATGGAGCCTCTTCTATAGCAATCATATTACTATGGGATTGTTTAATACATCTTATGGTTATACTTTTATGCTGGATGTTCAAGACCAAGTGAAAGTGAGACCTGTATTAATTAAAATCAATTTTTTGCTATCTTTCAAAGTCAGTTAAGTCTCATTAGGATTTACCTTGGAACCATGTATAGCAACTCTCAGGTCTCCTTTCAGTGTCAGCCATCTGGATGAGTCACAGCCATTGCTTGACCAAATTGCTTTCTGTGAAATGTTGGAATACTTTTCTATCCTGATGACTCCTTTAGGCACCCTACACACTGTTGATCTCCTTCCTCTGTGGTCTGATAGTCTCCTTAGACAGGATATTGGGGACTCACCTATTATAAGATGTCACAGCAGAGGTTCTCTTATGTTCTGCATCCTCATTGACCTCAGAGGGCCAGGGCCAAAAGATTGGCTATCTTCCTAGCCTATCTTTCTTTCTAGTGTTTGGTCTCTAAATCTCTGTTGTTGAATACCCAGAAGAGAATGTTAATGACATTAAATTATCATGAGAGCCATGAGCTTAATATTATAATTTTATCTAAATATCAAGCACCTTGAAATACAAAGTAGAACTATTTCCTGCCAACCATGGATGTTCTAGTAGTTCAATCCCTGTAGAATGTAACAGACAACAGTTATACAGTTTTACACAGAAAAATTGATCTCAAAAGCCATACATAATATTTTAGCCTGACAATCTTAATGACTTTTTATAACACAGTTAAATTTCCATTTTGACAAAGAATAGCCTTTTTAGTCAATCATCTCTACCTAGTACATAAAAACCTCTCACCTAATTTGTTTTCCTTTAATAAAATATCATTGAAGTGTGTTATATTGTCTGGACTACTTAATGTCTAAACATCTCTAAATGTAGTGGCACATACATAGCATTCATGTCACATAAATTTCTGTTAAAAATATTATTATTGATGGGTGACCTCATAATGGCTTGGCATGAACCTCCTATCACAAGCAGTTGGAGCACAACAGAAGGGCAGATGTCTGAATTCAAAAAAATTCAGATTATGTCTTCCACAAAGCTATGGGGATCATTTGGGCTTCCTATTAATGAACAAAGGCTGGAATATGATTTTTCCCAGGCAACTTTATTCACCAAAGGGAATCCTGACCAATAATTCCCCAAGACCGAAATGTCCCCAGTTAGTAACCTTAGCAAATTTCTGATGACTTATGAGAAAACCAATTTTAACATAATTTGACCACCTGGCAACCCAGGTAGAAGCATGATTTTTAAATCTATAAGTCAAATTAAATTAGGAACAATTGCTTCAAAAATGCAAAAAGAAAGAAAAAAATCACTGAGCACAAATAAAAACAACTGTTTACAGATTGGACACACAGACAAACAAACATACACAGACAATCTGCTTAAAAAATCAGAGTGCAACAAAATATATTTTTGGCCAAATTATAATGACTCTTTTGTAATTTTAGAAGTTTGTAATTACAAATAGACTAGTCAGAATTTTTTGTAGGTCAGTTAGCAGAGATCTGAAGGAAAAAATCAATATATAGATATTTCTGTCTTAGGAATACTGGCAACTTTTATATGCTTTTCTTTCATATAGCCTCCAGCCCAATCATCCCCACACACTCAGAATGTACTCAGATCTTTTTTTCTCATTTTTGGTTACCATTTCCTGAGCATTCTGGGTCAATTTCTTTAACTGGCCCCAGGTTGAGTCTAGCACTCTCCTCATCTATCAGCTGCAGCATGGTGTCCAAGGCATCACTGCCATGGGACTAAGCATCAGCTTCTTGAAATATGGAACCAACTCTTTCTCCAGTCCTGGGTTCATAATATAGCCAGACAGCACACCTTGGCACCCAGACAGACTATTCAGCAGTCCCTGGAAAGACACAAGCATACCCTTGGACATATAGGAATATCAGGCTGGGTCCCTTCCACAATAAATGATCCCTCAGACCTAAACATGCTTTAGCCATTTCTTTCCAGTCTTTAGAGGTCATATCCTGTTGTTGTATAAGCTCTATAAAACCCAAGGTAAAAGGGATTGTGGTGCTATAGATAGCAGTTGCTTTAGTTCTTTTAAGGTCTTAAAGGGTACAACTCCATGAAGACATACAACTTGTCCTGGATTACTGGGATCTTGGGCTTCAGCAACAAGGTAGACACGTTGGATAACCTCCAGGGATTCTCCCACTCCCCTGGTTTCTTATAGCACCAATTGCAAAGGAGGGAGAAAGAATGACTCTATTCTGTGAAGGCTGGAAGTCTCGGGCTGTGATGCAGCAACATTTTTCTGAACTGAGAAAGCAGAAGTAGCCACTTGTGGTGAAATTAAGGCTATGGGTTTTACTTTGGGTGGCTGTGAAATGTAAGTCACAATGAAACACTCCTCTAATGGAGAAAGGTCTTTATCCCCTACAGCTCTGTCCTGGTTACTTTTCTCTCACTGCTGAGATAAAAAACCTGATGTCCAAAATTAAGGAAGGAAATGGTTAGTTAGCTCACAGTTTGTAGAGGTTTTAGTCTATAATCAGCTGGCTCCAAGGCAAGATGCCATGGCACAGGTGCAACAGGTCAAGGTGGCAGATGATAGCAGAAGCAGCAAGAGCAAGAAGGGGGAAGAGGGGCTGGGGATTTAGCTCAGCGGCAAAAGCGCCTGCCTGGCATGCGCAAGGTCGTGAGTTCGATTCCCGGTACCGGAGAAAACCCCCCCCAAAAAAAAAACAAAAAAGAAGGGGGAAGAGCAAGCCTCTTTTCCTCCCTTATATTGTAAGTGGGCTACCCCACTCCCTAGGGCAGGTGTAGCACTCACACCACCTCTGTGACCTTCTCTTGCACAGGATGGGGATATTTACAAGTAAAGACGCTGGCTCCCTGCTGATTTGCTTAGTTAAACTTCTATACTTCTCAAGTTGACACAATATATTAATCATTACAAGCTCCTACCTTATCTGATTGAGTAAAACTAGAGGATTTATGCTTCATGGGGCTGTTGCTCCACTATCCTTTGCTTGCTTGAGGCTTTGTTTGAAGATCTGAGCCAAATCCTCTGTGGTCATCTCAAGAGGTGTATAATCATCAAGACACTCTCTGGTCAAGGTCCACAAAGAAAAGGTAAATATGAGAGTCAATAATACAGCAAACATTTCTATATACATCTGTTGTTCTTCTGACCCTGTTTGCCCCATAGTTACACCTGTTGATGGGATCAGTGTTGATGATATTAATACACCTCTCCCCTATGCTTCTTGTGGGCCTATTTTTCCCGTTTGCTCTTGTGAGCCTGTTTTGTTTGTGCATACACACCAATGTACCCTCTCACATGCTATAGGATGAGTTTCCTTGTACCCTAGTTCCCTCTTCAGGCACCAAAATGCCTCATTCAGCACAGCTCTTGAAATTCTCAGGGGCAGAACAGTGGAGGATGAAGAAAATAAAGGAAGACTTAGCATGCAGACAGCTGAGGTCAGGTGGAGCCCTCTCTCCTGATGGGAGACAAGGAACTGCCCAACAACTGCAGTATATTTATTTGTACAATCAGCAAGAGGTTGATAACAGGTGAAACCCATCTCCTAATGGGAGAAAGGGCCTGGCTAACAACTTGTTTGTCTGGTTCACCTTGGGCATTCCGTGTTCTCAGGCTGGCCTGGCTTTAATCCTGCATGGGTGATTGAACTCCAGCTAAGCCCCTCCCTACAGGTGGGGTTTGGGGCCTCTGACATCAAAACGTCACAATTATACCAAAAGCAAAATTATGTCTTCAACTGTTTTGTGCTACCTCCAAGTTCCTGAGAAATAATTTAGACAACAGTGAGACAACTGTCACCATCACAACTCATGGATCAAACATGTTACCTACAACAAAGATTTGTTTGTTTTTTTTTTCCCCCTCCGGTACCAGGAACTGAACTCACGACCTTGCGCTTGCCAGGCAGGTGCTTTTGCCGCTGAGCTAAATCCCCAGCCCCTACAACAAAGATTAATGGGAGTGTATTGCTTAGCTACGTAACTTGTAAAATATGTGATAAAAGCAAGTAATTAAAATCAAATGAAGCTAGAGGGTTATTCACGTTTCCCCTTGGTTTCAAAAGCAAGTGCTGAGTTACTAAAGGCTAAATAATGAAAAAGAACTCTGCAAGCATCCCAGAAATTTCCTGTATGCAGCCCCAGAAACTAACCTATTCTCAAGAAACAATCTACCCTCTGAGTCTAACACAAATTTTAAATTCTGTTTAGGAAATTTATATGAATGGAATCTTTGAATGGACACTTTTAATCTTGTTTCTCTCAAAATTATGATTGAAAGATTAGTCCATTTTATTATATATGATTGTGATTCATTCTGTACTATAACCAATAGTAAGAAGAGTTTCAATTGCTTGGTTTCCTTACTGAGTTCATATTTTCAGCAGTTATTGGTCTTTTTTACTTTTAGCTATTCTGATATGTATAATGGTGCATCATTGTATTTTAAATTTGTACAGATATTTCATTGGTACTAATGAACTTACATGCTTTTTTGGTAGCCATGTTGTTATGTTTTTGAAGAGCCTAGATTTCTTGCCCATTTTTCTATCACATTGTCTGGTTTTCATATCATTAAGCATTCTTTTTTGCTTAATTTTATTTTTAAGTCTTTTAAGAGTTTTTAAAATATATTTCATATAACATCAAAATCTATTTACATATTTATTATTTTAAATTATATATTTATATATCATTCCTCATAAGGTATTTACACCTGTACATGATATTTCTTGCCTATTCTTTTTCCCCCATTTTACTCCCTCCCTTCAATCCCTCTTCCTCTCCATATTTACAAAATTTTGTTTCCATTTTTTCCTTTTATTCTTTTTTTCTTGCTCCTTCCTTTCCTTTCTCCTTCCTTCTCCCTTGTTCCCCTTTCCATTTGAGTATTTTCTTCCCATTTCCCAATAGCTATTATATATTTGGTCCTTATTTACACTTTCAGTTTCTTGCAGAGAGAAGTAACGTGGTATTTAAACATGTGTGTCCAATTTATTTCACTTCTGTTCTCAAGGTGAATCCATTCACCTAGAAATTTTTCAAGATTATCCTTTTTATGGCAGGGTAGTAATCCATTGTATAAAAAAATCACATCTACTTTATCCATTCATCAATTGATGGGCATTTGGACTGTTTCAAAGATTTAGCTATTACAACCTGTGCTGCTGTAAACATGGGTGTGAATATATCTCTGTGGTATGATGCTTTTAATTTGGGGGGAAGATACCAAGAAGAGGGATAGCTGAGTCTAATGTAACACCTACTTTTAGTATTTTGAGGAATGTCCATAATAATTTTCACAGTGGTTGCACAATCTACACTCCCACCAACAGTGGACAAAAGTTTCCCCCTCCACACACACACACACACACACATACACACACACAAGCATTATTTTAATTTGCCTCTCTCAAGTAACAAGTGATGATGAATGAATATTTTTTAATATATTTATTTGCTTCTACTTCTTTATCTGAGAAGTGTCTATTCATTTCAGAAGCCCATTTCTGGAACAGGTCTTTAAATCTGAAGGGCCTGAATTTTTGGGGTTCTTTATATATTCTGGATAGTACTCCTTTGCCTGAGGAAGAGCTAACAAAATTTTTCCCACACTATGACTTTTCTCTTCACACTGTTGTTATGCTATGCAAAAGTGATGCAAAAGCTTTTTAATAAGATAAGATCAGAGTTGCTGATTCTTTTGTGATATTTCCTGTGCAATCAGGGTTTTCTTCGTAAGGTCTTTGACTACCCCACTGTCTTGAAGAGTTTTACCTATTCTCTGTTTCTGCAGATTTAATGTTTCTGTTTTAATATTAGGATCTTTGATCCATTTCAATGTTAATTTTATTGTGTGAGGAAAAACATGGTTCTAGTTTTCATCTTTGGCATGTGGAAAGCCAGTTTTTCTAGCATCTTTTACTAAAGAGGCTTTCTTCCAGTGAAGGTGTTTGCCTTCTTTGTCAAAGATAAGGTGACTGAGTGTGTTTGGAGTTGTTTCTGCCTCTACTAGACTGTTCCAATGATCCTTTGGGATTTTTCTTCCAGTAACATGCTGTTTTTATCACAATAGCTTTGTGGTATAATTTCAATTTAGGGATTGTAAAGTCCCCTGCCTTGCCTACATTGCCCAGGTTTGATTTTGCTATTCTAGATCTCTTCTGATTCCAAATGAATTTTAGGAATGTTTTATCTAATACTGGGAGATTTGCCATTTGAATTTTTATCAAGATTGCATTAAACCTATATAACAATTTTGGGAGTATGGCCACTTTCAATATATTGATTCTTCTTATCAAAGAACAAGGGATATCTTTCCATTTTATAATAACTTCTTAGATCTCCTTTTTCAGAGTACTGCAGTTTTCAATGTAAAGGTCTTTCACCTTATTTGTTAGATTTATTCATAAGTATTTCTCTTTTTTTGTATGCTACTGTGTTGATTTGTTTCTTTATTTGGTGCTGGGAATTGAACTCAGGACCTTGCACTTGCCAGGCAGGTTCTGTGATGAACTATATCCCTTGCCCCTTTTATGCTATTGTGAAAGCTGTTGTTTTCCTAGTTTCTCTCTCAGTGAGTTTGTTATAAAAGTACAAGAAAGCTATTGATGTTTTGAAGGTTGATTTTGTATCCAACTATGCAATTAAATTTGCTTATTAAATGTAGAAGTCTTTTGGTGGAGTTTTTGAGTTTTCTATGTAGAATATCATGTCATCTGCAAATAATGATAATTTAAGTTTTTCATCTCATATCTTTATTCTTTTTATTTCTTTCTCTTGTCTAATTACTCTGGCTAACTTTTCCACAGAGCTATGTGAAATAAGAGTAGGAATAGTAGAAATCCTGTCTTGCTCTTGATTTCAGAGTGAAAGCTTTCAGTTTTTGTCCATTTAGTATTGTGTCGGCTGTTGATATGTCTAAGCTTTTATCAGATTGAGATAAAAATCATCTATTCCAATTCTCTGCTGGGTTTTTATTATGAGTGATTGTTGGACTTTGTCAAATCCTTTTTTTGAACCTACTGAAATGATCATGTGCTTTTTGTCCTGGGCTTTGTTAACATGGTGTATCACATTTATTGATTTGCATATATTGAACCATCCTTGCACTCCCAGGAGGAATCCTACTTGTTCACGGTGGATAATCTTCTTGAAAATTTGCTGCATTCTGTTTGCCCATATCTTATTGAGCATTTTTGCATCTATATTCTCTAGGGAGATTGGCCTGTAGTTCCTTTTCTTGGTTGGAATCTTCTGTGGTTTTGGTATCAGGGTAATACTTGCTTCCAGGAATGACTTAGGCAGTATTGATTCCCTTTCAATTTCATTAAAGTGTTTGAGAAGTAGCAGCACTAGATCTTCTCTAAATTTCTTGTAGAATTCAGCAGTGAATCTTTCAGGACCTGAGCTTTTAGTTGGTAAGTTTTTAATGATATATTTGATTTTATTTTTTACATATTTGATCAATAATTACTGATATTGTTTGTGTAGTATTTTTGTATTCATAATTCAGCTTTGATAATTCATATCTAGCAGTCTGTCCATTTCATTTGCATTGTCCATCTTATTAGAATATAGGTTCTTAAAGCAGGTATTGGTGATCTTCTGGATTTCTCCAGGAATTGTTGTGACTTCACCCTTCATTCCTAATTGCATGCATCTGAGCCTTTTCTTTCCTTGTTTTGATAAGGTTAGCTAAGTTTTGTCTATTTTATTTAATCATGTAATGAACCAGCTGTTTGATTCATTGATTCTTTGCATTATTTTCTTAGCATCCATTGCATTAATTTGTCCTCTTATCTTTATAATTTCCTCCCCATATGAGCTTTGGGCTTGTGCTTTTCTTCATTTTTCTATAAGTTTGAGGTTCAAACTTAGGTTGTTCATTTGAGCCCACTCAATTTTCCTCGTATGGGAATTCACTGCTATAAATTTCTCCTGTAGGGTTGCTTTCATTGCATAGCATATGTTTCAGTATGTTGTAATGGCCTTATCATTTAATTGTGGAAACTGCCTAATTTCTTCTTTAATTTTATCAGTGTCCTACTGGTTGTTTACTAAGG